TAGATTGAAACCTACTCCTCAGAGACTTCATCTTAGCAGTATTTTTTTTAGCAGTGTTTCAGGCATTTGGGTCGTGGTTTTTTTTTTTTTTTTACTGTCCTATTTTCAAACAAGGAAGAGCCTTTGATTGTTCATAAAACTTTGGATACAATTGTGTTTTGTATAAATGAAGAAAATTGTTATAAGCATTATAGGATTAGGCGTTAGTGGTCAAGATAAAGTTCAACAAAATGCGAGAGGAATGCATATTTAGATAGGTATGAGTTAGATATGAATGAATGTCTTGAAACATTCTTCAAGCTTGGAATGGATCAAACACCTGATGTTATATTTGTATTCACCTGCTGTCCTGCAATCCTAATATATCCCTATTAGAATGAATGTCGACGCCACCAATTTGTTGTCGTCATCAGTATTACCATCTAATACATCTCCAGATAGTAAGTACATTTCAGAGATCTTTGTCTGCCTTTTATTTAAAACTTTTTTTTTGGGTAAATGTGTACTTCATTTGTCTATACACCTTTAATAATAACACGCTGCTCTCCATTAAGCATCCTCAAGCAAGTGGCAACCTGACCCCTGAACAATCCAGTGCAGTTTAATACAACAGCCCTGGCACAAATTCTTTTTTTTTAATACTCGCTCATATTGATCATTTTGTGTTGACAGTTATGTGCTTATTTTGAGGCTGTGGTTAAAGGTAACATTTTCCTGGACATCTGTCACTTATTCAACTTATGGTCACTTATGGTCACTTATTCAACTTATGGTCACAGCTGCCTGGGTACAGGCTTTACCAATCTGTCACAGGGCTAGAAGGAAGAGCATTAGAAGTGTCTCTCAGTCTAAAAACTTACAAGCATCAGAAATTGAGTAGCTTTAATAGTATGTAAGCTCATGCTGGTGTACCCAATTGTCCAAGCAGTATATATCACTACTAGGTTTTCCTGAAAGTTTAGAAATATTATCTGTCTATATATCCTAAAAAAGGCTAAAATAATAAAAAAAAACCCAACCCAACAATATCAATGTAAAATGTGTTACAGCCCGCATATAAATTTTAAGCTTTCACAAGCTAATCAGGTTATCTTAAACAACTGAAAGCATGTGTGCAACATTTGTGGAGCCATTGTCTCCACAGCCGTTACACAGCCCGCTGTGTTGGGCTCAGTGGATGGATTAGCAGAAGGACAGGTGTTTTTAATTGGCCCAGTCTCTGGCTCAGCATGAAAGGTTTTCAGCAGTGAGCTAAATCTCCTCTTAGACACTGTCCTCTGTCGTTCCTTTGCTATTTAGAAGCCTCCATTGTACGAAAAGGCAATTCTCTGGGTTCCCTGATGAAAATCTATTAGGTAGCTAAGCGGTTTTGGCGGGGTCACTGTAAGCTGTGTGTGTGGAGAATTGGAAGAGTTGGAGAAACATCTAAGCCACAGTGCTGCTGTCTGTGTTTATTTTCTCCTGAGTAACGTTTGAGTTTGTTTGACAGATCTTTAAACACAGATAAAAAGCTACTGTGCCTCATTAAGGACTACTGTAAGCACTTGATATATTTATAGTTTAGAATAACAATTGTATAATTATTTCTTATGTTCTTGAGTCTATGTTACAGTGCTAGTCTTTGCAGTTTGTTTGGTTTTAAATGTGCAAGGGTGAGAGTTCACTAATGACATGAAACTGATATGTTTTATTGCCATATCTAGCAGCAGGTGGCCAGACTATTGGATCACAGGATATGAAAGACTTGTGGCTTGATATGGAGTACCAGACAGAGTTGGAATACAGCAAGCTTGTAGTTAAAGCCTTTGGATTTATGACAGCCTTACAGCTTTCATTCGACACACTGTACATTTGTACCATCTGCAATAACTTAAATGTTTGCAGGCAGCTGCTCTTAAACTTTGCATATTCATTTGGTAGGCATAGTGAGCACATAAGTGAAAGAAAAGCATGCATCTAGGCATCTCTTAGCATCCTTTTAACAATGAGCGAATGACTATGTGTGTTGTACTGCTGTTACTGTTAAAAGCTGCTCACACACACATGTGTAGCACATGAGCAGCACATGAGCATCGCTTAGGACGGTGGAGCTGCTATTTTGCTCTAAAAGTCTGACTGCTAATTTTGGGCACTTGAATCTTTCTCTGAAATGCTGCTACCCTGCTATAAACATTTTATAAGATCCTTTCATGTATTTAACAGTGATGCCAGAGTGGTGGACGGTTGCTTTTTTCAGTTTAAAGGGACACTCCTCTGCTTTTGTCTGTGTCGTGTAAACATCCATCATAACACACAGTACTTGTATCCTATTGTTTCCCTTTGGACAGACTGTTGGACCAAAAGCAGCACAGTTCATCCAAAGGCTTAGCTTTTGTTTTTCGATGGAGCCATTGACATCCATTCCTGACTGCTGTCGGTTTTCTGTTGTTTTAGTAATCGTCAGCCTCTGAGAACTCCTCACTTTATTAAACACTTGTATCCCACCCCTTCATTCATTTGTGAGCACTTTGTAACTGTTTGTAAATGTTGCTGTTGTCTATTGTTTCAGTGTGCCAGTGTTTTGCTGTGCTGGAGGATGGAGCGCTGGCACACAACCTGCAAGAGCAGGAGAGTAAGTACAAAGTTAAGCAGCTATTTGACAGCTGCATACTGTGCAAGCGTCTACTAACTTCTATTATGTGAGCTGCACTCCATTCTGTCTCAGTGAACCACCACTGGATGTTGGGTTTATCTTTTCCTGAAGTATTCACAACCACAGTGTTATGCTGCAGACTTGCCAAGGACTTTAGAATTGCACTGGTGTGCCAAATAATGCAAATCCAAAACAACAGCTCCCTCGAGTATTTTAATTACGCAATCAAAATTTTATGAACACTTTTCAATAACTGTCAACTCTCTGAACTGTTAACAGAACCGCACTAAAAACCATCTTTATAAAGGTAAAAACGTATGGCATTGCTGTTGGATTGGTTTATGTTAGATTGGATTTTATTGCAAAAACTTGTATTAAATTGACACAAAGAGATAGAAAAGATTATATAACAACCAGATGTATTTGTACTACATAACATATGTATTTCCATGAAAGCCTTTTTGGTTGCTGCTGTGGTGTCTCTGTACATCTTTGTAAAAAAAAAAAAAAAAGCCATACAATTTGGTATGTATTTTTAAGATTCCTCAAAAGTGTCATCACTGAAGAGCTGGCATGCAGCAAACCATGTTTCAGATAATCAAAACATTCATAATGATTTAAAATGAAAACAGATTTAAAGTTCAAATGCAATATAGTAAATATTAATTCATATGTAATAGATCAAATACGGTCCCTTTTGATACTTGCATTGCACGTTACCTTACTATCTCCCCTTTTCTCTGCCTTGCACTTACAGTCGAGCAATACTATACCACCAACATTCTGAAGAGCCAGCTTGTGCAGAATGACATCCGTGTAGCCAAGAAGCTGCAGGATGAAGAGGAGGAGCAGCAGGCCCAGCAGAGTGCCCTTCAGAGACAGGCCTCCAGACAACTGTAGGTGACTCCTCAAAGCACACTCCTGCAATAACCACACTGTGCTACATGCAACCCTTACGCTACTGCATGTAAATTTATTGCACAAATTTGTGTCTTCTTTTACTTTGCTGCATGTTACGTTGATTATTGTATCCATAAATCACAAATATGAGAAGTAATTTTCTTCTGCGACTGCTTTGTAGAGAGGAGCAGGACTTTGAGTACGCCCGTGTGATTCAGGAAGAACTCCAGAGATGTGCTGAGGAGGCTCAGAGGAGGGAGCTGGATGATGAGGTGAGCTTTTACTCACATCTCTTTGCTTACATAGCATATTTTATTACCAACCTGTGCATAATTTTTTTTTTTTTTTTTTAAAAAGCAATGTGTATTTAATCTTCTTTTACAGTACCCAACATTCAAAAAAAATGAATCTACCTTTATGGGGATAAGAAGAGTCAGGTTGGACCCCTTTGAAATGAGATGATGCATACATCTCAAAGGGTTTACCCAAATATAGGAACTTTATCATAACCTTAAATGGGTTATTTACCTTAGCACTCATGCTCGCTATAGTCTAGGTTAACTGGGGAGCTTAACCATGAGCTGTCATGCATTTAACCAAATAGGGAGAAACCTGTTAGGTTTGGTAACTTTGAACATATTTGATTTTAAAAAAAAAATTCTTATCTTTAGCTCAGTTGACTTTGATGGAAAGTGTACTAGTGTTATAATACTACATGGCTGGTAAGCTCATCTTACTATAATATACAAAATCTCTCTCTGTCTTTCTGCATGTTCATTTTTTGTGTGTGTGTGACCGCCAACACCTCCCTAGATGATCAGGAGAGCATCCAAACTTGGCACACAGGTACATCTTAGGCCCATGAAGGTTCTTATCTATATCAGATATTGTGATGTTGTAACTAGCAACGGGATAAAATAATCTGTTTTCAGCATTACTGCCCCTATAACACTTTATGAAAGTATTTTATCATTTTTATGATAGTTTTCATGACAGTAGTATCTAATTTATATCCATCAATTTTCAGTTATATTTATCCTGATGTCATCATAATATATTACCTGGCAGCGACCTGCTAATGTTCTAAAAGGACCTGCTTTTTTACCTGTTTTCTGTTATTTCAGTTTCAAAATAATTACATCTCATTCATATACATAAAAGCTGAATTATACATGATCTATCGTGTCTTCATGTTGCCTAGTAATCAATCAGCAGTAGGCTAAAATTACCCTTTTTTGCATTTATGCACCTTCAACGCCTTATAATATCATCATTTTAATGTCACAGCGCACACAGGTCAAACAATACAGTAGCATGAGCATGGACTTGTATTTTAAATGTATTTCTTAATGTGTATCTCTTTCTTGTGCAAATCTATAGTTTTAAAGTCAAGTCAAGTTCAAACCACTATAGACTATTCTAGAAGATATAGACGTGCTCCTTGAATGAAAGATGTGCAAAGTAGAAAATCTGTTTTCCTCTACCAGCCACTCATTTTTGTCATTTTTAATTTAAAAGCTTCATGGTATTAACTCCGAACTAAACGGTTCCCCTGATAATAAGATAAAAAACCTTGACAGCAAACTTTGCAAAGTAAAATATTGTGAGGGATTTGTTCCTGAAAGAGGCACAAATCCTTTCCCATGGGCATCAAGTTGCTGGCAGTAACCAGAGCAGAACAGGATACTGTATGAACAAGTTTACCTTCAGCACAAAGTAATACTTGGAGAGATACTCGTTTCTCGTCTGTCCTTGGAAGTATGAGCATTTCTTTCTTTTGTTAAAAGGGATAGCACAAATATATTTTTTTTAACTTTTTTTGTATGATATGCATACAAACTTACAAAACAATGTGAAAATAATCAGGTGAAAAGTAAGGAAAAATCATTTTTTATAGGATTTAGTGACGGTAGAAGGTAAATTAATACCACTGGCGTTCCCCTTTAAAGTCAGTGAAATCACACACAGCACAGGGACTCATAGGCATTTATGGCACTTAGGATGTATTTATATATCATTTAATTATTCGCCTGTTACAGGGAGTATCATATGGCTCATTCTGCTCACACTTAGGACTAACTGAGTAAATAATGAATCCCACTGGCAGCAAAGTGCTGCTCTGGGCCTCGGGTGTATCCATTGCTCCAAGAGAGGGCTTTAAAAGCACGGTCAGCTGTTTAGCACAGTCGTTCAAGCGATGATGGCTCAAGCAGTTTCACCGGTGCTTAGCTCCAGACATGGACCAGCAGGTGCTTTATCCAGAATGCATTCATATGTGCGCATTTAGTCATGCAAAACTTGCACACTCTCGTATTCTCAATTTTGTTGTTTAATATTTTAATCTCTAAATAGATCATTTAGATTCTAATAAGCTCTATTACAGAATGATGGCTTGAATGTTTAGCCCCATTAGCACTCAAGCTCTATGTATAGGAATATTACTTCTGACTGAAAATATTTCAACAGAAATTTATTGCTATGAAACTTTGTACTTACGTTTATGATCTTGGGAAAAAGAAACCTATGACATCAGCGATCTCCTGATCATTTCGTTAGCGTTGCCATGAAATTAACAACTAACAACTAACTAATACTATGATCAGGTTTATTTCCTTAGTTTATCAACTGATATTTGCAAAACTAGTGCCATGTCTATTATCCATAGCTGCACTTTGCTTTTAGTGCTTATTAGTTTAACAACTTATGTATATTGTGACGTGTCGATGTGAACTCAATAGCATGATGACATTATCATTTAGCTGAATCACTATTTGACCTGAGTATAGCCTCAAAGATGTACAAGGTGTATCTGTTCATAAAATACAGTATTATGCAAAAGGCTCGACCCCTCCCTCATTTCTTTACATTTTTCTGGGAAATAGATGCTGCAATTTAACATGTGC